CACTCCCTCCACTGGTTAGGCGATAGGGCAGCTGGAGGAACTCGGCCCAGGCGCATACCCCTGGCGTTTCCTGCACGTCAGCAAGAGAGCATTGACAGTCCGAGATGCTTGAAGATGCTGCTGCATTGGTCATGGGGGGAGCTGGCAGAGGGTCAGTGACTTGGCCTCCCTGGGCAGCCGGTGCTCAATCCGACTTTACCATTCAACAACAGCATCCCCCAGTGTTGTTCCTGGAACCCCACACCGCCCACACAGCAACCGCCAGGCCAGGGCACCTGCTCGCCACGCACTCCCCTTCTGCCTTGAGCCCGTTGCAGCCCCACCCTGCTCATCGCTGGTAGGCCGACTTGGGGCGCGGCCTAATGGGGAAGAAGCGGGCGCCCTTGCAGCTTGGACAGCGGCAGTGGCAGGCGCTGGTCGGCGGCGAGCCCTCGGCGCTGGAGGCACTGCTGCAGGAGCCGGGAAGGTAATGCAGGAAGCTGTTAATGGGGCAGGTGGCTGCGCTTGCCGCGCTCATGCCGACACTGCATGCGCCCCCCCCCCCCCCCCCGACGCCCTCTGCTGCTCAATCGGGCTACCCATACTTGCGCAGGGCCACCGACTTGGTGCGCGCGATCGCCATTGCGCTACAGCCGGGAGGTACTTTGAACACGGCAGACGCGGGCCTGCGGTGAGCCGCCATCACCCTCCTTTGGCTGGTGGAGGCTGCACCGCCCGGGGCAGGAGGCAGCGACGCAGGGGCAGTTTGTGCCGCCATGAGCGGCGGCGGCGATGCCAGCTGCTGGCCGTTGATGACCTGGGGCTCTCTCGCTCCCACTGCAGGCTCCAGGTGCTGGGCCTGCTGGAGCAGCGCGCGGTGGAGCTGTGCGGCGACGCGCCCACCGACCTGCTGCGCCAGCTGTATGAGGTGGTGCGCGACCGTGCGGCGGCGGCGCCTCGGGACGCCCCGCCCACCGCCGCCCGCCTGCAGCTGGCCGCGCTGCACACGCTCACCCAGCTGCTGGTCAAGCTGGACATGCCGCAGCGGGACGCGCGCCTGGTCAAGGTGCACGTGGAGATGCTGTTCCGAGTGATGGAGCGGGGCGGGCCGCACGCGGCGGCGGCGCCCGACCTCTGCCGCGCCGCCGCCACCTGCCTGCGGGTGATGGAGGAGGGCGCGCCCACGCTGCTGCTGGCCGGCTCCAAGCAGCTGCTGGAGCTGGCGCGGCGGGAGACCAGCGCCGCGGCGGAGAGCTACGCGACGCTGGCGGCGCGAGTGCTGGCGCACGGCGCAGGCGAGCGTGCCGCTGTGCCTGTGCCTGCTGCTCCCGTGCCGCCTGTGCCTGCTCCGCAAACCGCTCGTGTACATATGAGCGGGAAATAGTGAGCGTCCTGTTCTGCGGCCACGCCGTCATGGCTGCTGCCGGCTGCGCCGCACTCTTGCCGCATTGCCGCCGACGCTACAGCACCTGTTCGCTCATCCACACCGCTGCCTCTGCGCCCGACCCTGCTGCAGCGCGCTGCCTAGACGGGCAGAGCGGCAGTGGCGAGGAGTCCGGCCGGCCAGAGGAGCATGCCGAGCAGGCAGCGGCGGCGGCAGGGGTGCGTGCGTGCTGCCAGGCGGGCGCTCCCGCCATGTCGGCGGTGGCAGAGGAGGAGCAGGAGCCGAGCGCCTTTTCCGTCCTCTCATCCATCGACGTCCGCGCCCTGGTGCTCGGCGGCGGCAGCGGCAGCGACAGCGGCTGCGCCACGCCCGCAGGCGCCCGCGACATCTCGCCGCACGGCACCCTGGACGCCGCGCACGAGGCCATGACCGCCTTTGCCTCGGGGCGCACAGGTGGGGCGGTGGCGGGGCGCCCGCACGCCCAAGCAGCAGGCAGCCGAGCGGAGTCGCGCTGGCGGCTGCCGCATCATGCGCCATCACCCCTTTTCCGAGAACCACGGCCCGGCGGGCCTGCGCCGCAGAACCGGGGTGCCGTCCTTGCCGCCGCCGCCGCCTTGACGTCGCCCCACCTGGCCCTGCCCTGTCTTCCTGTCGCTGTGCAGCCACCTCATCCGAGGACCTGAGCAGCCCCAAAGAGGTTCCCGGCAGCCCTCGCGGCGTGGCCTCGCTGCTGGGCACAGCCTCGACGTGCGACGACAGCGGGCGCAGCAGCGCGCTGTCGGCGGTGCGCGACGCGGCGGCGCGCGCCCCGCTGAGCCGCCACGCCTCCATCGCATCCAGCGAGGTGTGCTGGAGTGTGGTGGTGGTGGTGGTGGTGATGATGTGGGTGGCGCGGCGCACGCAGCACTACTCCAGCGCGCTAGCATGGTCTGGTGCTGCGGCCTTGCCACCCACCGCATCCCCTCCCCTCTCCCCCTTCCGCCTCCCGCAGATCAGCGGCAGCGTGCAGCTAGACAGCGGCGCCGTGCAGCCGCTGCTGTCGCCCGCCAGCCCCGGCCTGCGCCACTACCGCGTGCCGCAGCACCTCCACTGGCCCGACGCGCTGGGCCAGGACGCGGTGTGCGTGTGCCTTGCGCCCGAGGCGCTGCCCGACCTGCGCCAGGCCTGCCTGGAGTTCCTGGCGGCGCTGCCGCTGCTGAGCGTGGAGGGGGTGGCGTGCGTGACGGCGGCGCTGCCCCCCATCATGCGCCTGGCCCAGCTGCCGGCGGAGCAGCTGCAGGCGGAGCTGGATGGGCTGCTGCACTCGGGGCGCACCCTCATGCTGCAGGTGCGACCGGTGCCAGCCTGGCGGCCGGCCAGCCTGGCAGCCGGCGCCGGCCACAGCCAGGCCTGCCTGCCGCACGCGTGCCTCGCCGTGCTGCGGGGCACGACGCGAGGGCAGCGCAGGCACATGACGGGCACCACCACCTCACCCACCCGCCCTGCCCTGTGCCGCAGGCCGTGCTGCGCCTCTACTCCGAGGTGCCCGAGGGGTTTGGCGAGTGGCAGTGCCGCCTGGTGGACTCTGTGCTGATGATGGTCAATGGGCCCACCCCAACCGAGCACCGCGTGGTCGCCGCCACCTGGTGCCTGGTGCAGCACCACGCGCAGATGCACGGCCGCCAGCCCAGTCTGTTTGCGGGCAACTGGCGCCAGCTGCTGCCGCGCCCCGACGACCCGCCCCAGCTGCTGTCGCTCAAGGTCAAGGCGCTGTCGGCGTGCCTGGCGGGTGCGTACTGCGGCAGCTGCAGCGCGACTTCCGCGCCCTCCTGCTGCGCGCCGCCGGGACGGGCACTGCGTGCGGCTGCCGCGCCCCGCTGGCGGCTGCCTGCCGGCACCTGAATGGCCGCGGCCCGGCACCGCGGCCTGGCAACTAGGCATATGACTTGGCTGGTTTGCCACTCTGCCGCCCGCCTGCAGTGGGCATCGGCCGCCCCGAGGAGATCTGCCCCATGCTGTTTGCCTGGGACGGCTTCTGGCAGCGCGCGCCCAGCGACCAGCAGCAGCGGCTGGCCACATACGCGCTGCGCATGCTGGGCTCCGCCGCCGTCAGCTACGGCGCGGCGCCGCCGGCGCAGGCGGCCGCCGCGCGGCGCGGCGCCTCGCTGCCCCGCGCCAGCGGCGTGGTGGCCAAGCCCGCGCCCACTCCCCACTACGTCAAGGCCTGCCTCGTGTCGGCCTGCCTCCAGCTGCTGGCCACCCGGCCGCAGTACCTGCCCGCCGTGGAGGCCTTCTTGGCTAACTGCGGCAGCTGCTGCCCCGACATCCACCTCACGCTGCTCAACGCCGTCGACGCCCTGCTGTCGGCCGCAGCCACCGGCACCTTTGCCAGCCTGCAGCCGCGGCCTGGCGGCGCCGCGCCGCACAGGCTCCGCGGCTCGCCCGGGGGCGGGGGCAGCCCCCGGGGCAGCCAACGCAGCACGTTTGCCGGCATGCTGCAGCGGGTGGCAAAGACCGTCTCCAAGAAGCTGTCGCCAGGTGGGCTGCCGCCGCAGGCTGCGCAGCGCGGAGCAGGCCCGTGTGGTGCCGTGGCGCCGCCAGGGCGGCGCGCCGCGGCAAACAGCAGCAGAGCTGGCGGGCTGTGCAATGCAGCCGGCACGCCAGGGCTGGGGCCGTGGCCTGCCCATCGGGTGCCGCTCGCCCTGGCTCATCTGCTGTGTCCCTCGGCCGACGTTGCTCCTGATTGGCCTTGCTGACTCGTCGCCCTGAGCTTTGATCGTCCCTGCTGCCCAGTGCAGGGGGGTCCCCTGGCGAGCCCGGCAGCCCGCAGCAGCAGGCAAAGGGGGCGGCGCGGGCGCCCCGTGAGCTGCCTGCGGCCGCGGAGGCGTCGCCTTACCGCCTGGCGTCGCCGTACTGCCTGGCGGCGCCGCAGCCGCCCTGCACGCTGCAGAGCTGGGAGGAGGCGGAGGCGTGGCTGTGGGACTCGCGCACCTGGGCTGCCCTCAGGTGTGTGTGCCACGCGCAGCCGCCATGCCACGCGCCAGATAGCCGCCTGCTCTCCTGCGTGGGCGCCTCTGCTGCTGCTGCTGCTGCTGTCGATGATGATGATAATGATGATGCTGGCAGCTTGTCCACAGTTGATATGGAGGGTGGCACGCACGCACACACACACTCACACACACACACATACACACACGCACACATACGCTGCCTCCCTCCCTCCTCCCGCCTGCAGCGCCAACATGCTGGCGCACGACCCCATGGCATACCGCTCCCTGCTGCTGCGCCTGGCGCAGAGCGGCGGCGCGGTGCTTCCCATGGGCACGCTGCGCCTGCTGGCGGCCTACGCCACGTGAGCCCTGCTGTGTGTGCCCGTGGTGCTGGTGCTTATGCTGGTGCTGGTGTGTGTGTAGGAAGGAGCCGGGTGTGGCGCACAGTGCTGTGGCATGCCATGCAGGACCTGCCGCCGCGGTGCTCCCCAACCGTGCCGTCGTTGTGCCCTGCCTGCCCCGCCTGCCTGCCTGCCTGCAGCCAGTACCAAGGGGAGCAGCCTGGGCATGAGCTGCCCGCCAAGGAGGCCGGAAACTGTGTCCTGGCCATCTGCCAGGCAGCCGCCATGACGCACCTCCTCATCGGCCCCGCCGGCGCGGCCCCCGCCTCGGCGCGCAAGCAGGCCGCCGCCGCGCTGGCCGGGCGTGGCCGCACGCCCACGCGTGCCGGGGAGGAGGCCAGCGTGCACAGCGTGCACAGCGTGCAGCAGCCGCGTGGCGCCAGCCCGGGCACCGCCAGCGCCGACGGCACCGCCACGCCGCAGTGGACGGTGCAGCAGGAGGAGGTGGCGGCGGCGATGCAGGCGGTGCTGGCCGCTCTCACCTCCCACTCGCCGGCGGAGAGCGTGAGTGCCGGCCAGCGCCGCGCCCGCAGGCTGCGTGCCCTCCCGTGCAGGCTGCGGGCCAGGCCATGCGTTGCTGCCGCTCCTCACGCTTCAGCCCCTGCCGCTTCCGCGCCCTCGCCCTGCCTCACGCCCTCGGCTGCCGCCCCACGCCGCTGCCGGTGTTGGCGCAGGTGCGGCGCCGCGCCCAGGGCTTCCTGGACCTGTTGGCTAACCCGTGTGCTTGGGACCTGCGCCTGCGCATGGGGACTATGGCTAAGGTGTGTGTGTGTGGGCATGCGTGCTGCTGAGCGGCACGTGTGCTGCTGCCCTTTCACATGACACATGTCGCTGCGCGGCGCGTGTGGGGCACGCCGCGCACTCGCCGCCATAGGCACAACGCCACGCGCGCGCGCCCCGCCGCCCTTTGTGTTCAGATGCTGGGCGGCTACTTCAGCGATGCGGTGTCTATGGCCAACTACCTCTGAGCCCAGCCGCCCGTTCAGGTGGAAGAAAGTCCGGTTGGCTCTTGAGCCCGGCTGGCTCCTGTGGCTCAACTCTTTCTGGCGCCCTGCGCTCTCGTCCGTAATCACCCCCCAACCCAAACCCACACTGGCGCTGCCTGTGTTGTCGGGCTGCAAGCTCTGCTGCCTGTTGCGGCTTCAGCCCCGCTGCCGGGCGTGTGCCCAAGCATGCCTGTCTGTCTCCCCATTCCGTTCTTCCTTCCTTCTTCCTTTGAGTAATGTCTGCTGTCCCTGTCACCCTTTGCGGCAGCCTCGCCTGCATCCCATGCACGCTGCGGGCGCTGCACAGGGGTGTTGCTTTAATATTTTCGTTGAGGCGTGAGCCATCTGGTGCACTCAGTGCAGCTATCCCCATTCCAAGTGGCCCCTCCATTTGGGCCGTGCGCTCCTTTTATGCCCCGTTTGTTTTCCTTACCCTCCCAGCAGGGGCTGTTCGCTGATAATGGATGCAGGTTTGCCCAACCCATCCTCCCGCCGTACTCTTTGCGTAAACCCCCCTCCTATTCTGCACCGCCACCATTGCCCATCAGGCATGCCTGCCCCGGCAGAGTGGTGCTGGGGCTTGTGCCGGGTCTTTGTGTGGCCCCCGTCCAGGTTTCCCCTTATAGCCTCCCCTCTCCTTCGTGTCGCATCCTGTATTTCCCTCAACCGGTGAAACGACAACACGAAAACAATGTTTACTACGCATCTGTCGGCCGTCAACCCGTCCCCGTGGCCGTGCATCCCCATTCCTATCTCCGATCTAAACCTCGGCACTTTCTTTCCTTCATTGTACTGCCCCCATTGCCCCCAAATGATATTCTTGCAGACCGCTGACCTGTTGCCAGCTGTGCGATTGCGCCGTCGGTCGGGTTTGTAAGCACGCTCAGTCAAAGCAGGCAGGACAGGACAGGCAGAAGAGGCACTTGCAGAGGTCGCATTGAAACGCACTCCCAGACAGCTATGTGCAGGCGGAGAGCCACATGGCTCCTCGTCACTGAGCCTGCTTGGCAGCTGGCGCAGCTTCCTGCAATGGCGCTGCGTACCCTGCCCTCGTCCGCGCGCTGGTCACCCATACTTGCTGCCGATCTCCCACACGTCCATGATGCCTGGCGGCACCGAGGGGTCCAGCGCCGCGCTCACGAGCGCCTTGGCAACGGCATCCACGCTGCAAGGGGGCAACAGGTGTGGGCAGGTGTGACAAGACATGGAGGGAGTGCAGTTGAGAGCACAGGGCAGGTAGCCAGCGGCACACATGTGGTGGTCGAGAGTTGAGCAGCGCTGGCCGTTTGTGGCTGAAAGCTTTCGAATGCATGCGCAGCTCGCCGCCCCCCCTGCTGCTACAGGAGTGTGACTGGTCGCGCAGCTGGCGCCAACGCAGCAGCCCCGGAGGGGCAGCGGGCGCACCTGACGGGCGGCATGAAGGCGGCGCCCATGATGGGTATGTTGGCGAGGCTCCTGGTGGGCAGCAGGCTGAGGGCCTGCGATGTGTCGGGGACAGGCATGGCGGTTCGGCCGCCCTCGACGGCTCGCGTCAGGGCAAGCCACATCCAAGCGGGGTATCGCGCCCACAGCGCCAGCTGGCCACGGCACTCGTAGCCTCACCGCTCTCAGGGGCGCGCCCACCAGGCCCAGCGGCAGGCTGCTGCCGCCGCCCAGCACGCGACTGCCGTAGATGAAGCTGGGGCGCAGCGCCACGCCGCCTGCACAGCAGCGGCACACTATATGTGTGTGCACCGGTGGTGGCGGTGGTGGAGCGCGCCGAGGGGTGGACGCATGGGGCGCGGCAGCACAGCGATTGGAGGGGCCGCAGGCTGCAGCTGTTGACGCTCATGCCTACCCGCGGGAAACAGGGCCGCCATGTGTGCCTCTGCGTCGCGCTTGCCCTGGAAGTAGCCGCGCAGCAGGAAGTCCTGGGCGCGCCAGCCCGCGGGGAGCTTGTAGTCTGCCACCGAGACGAAGGAGAAGCGGGGGACGCCCGCCGCGGCAGCGGCATCCATGGCGCGCATGTTGGCCTCGCCGCACACCTGCACACATGTGAGTACTTCCTCAGTGGACCGCAGCCAGGTGCACACCGCGTGGCTGGTCATTGGAAACAACAGGGGCGGGAGAGCGAGACATCTGCGGCCCCCCGGCCATCCCCTCGGCTCCCAGGACCCCCACCTTGTACATGTGTTCATTGGACCCAAAGCCCCCCATGGTTGACACCGCCCCCGCCGCCCCCTTGAGGACGTCCTTCCATGCCTGCTGCGGGTCCAGCGCGTCGCCCTGCACCCACAAACCAGGGCGCAAGCTGGCAGGGGTGTTTGTACATGGCACGAGTGCAGCACTGGGCAACTAGCTGCAGCAGGCGGAGCAGGTGGGGTATCCAGTGCACCGCAGAGCTGCAATCCAGCTTGCCAGCGCCGTGCTTGGCCAACCCCACTTGCCTGCACCCACTCCACTTGCCCCACCCAGTCGCCGCGCAGGTTGCGGGGCCGCCCCGAGCGGTTGATGCTGACCACGGCGGCCCCCATCGCCAGCCCCTGCTGGCACACCCGGCTGCCCACAAAGCCGCTGCCGCCAAACACCACGATCCGAGGGGTGTAGGTGTGGTAGTCCCCCAGGTCAGTCGCTGATGAGGAGGACGCGGCAGCATCTGCCGCGACGGAGCCTGACGGCGCGTGTGCCGCTGCCGCTTGCGCCTGTGCTGATGCCGCCACGCCCGCTGCCTCAGGTGCGTCCCCTGGGCGAGGCTTCGAGTCCCCGGCGGCGCTCATTTGGCGAGACCAAAGCCTGCGACGAGGCGTCCAGGCAGGAGGGTGAGAGTTCGGGGGAATTTTGCTCGACGAGGCCGGGCACCAGTGGAGCAGACGGCTGATTCGCCCAGACGCACCTTGGAAGTGATCCAATTGCTCTGGGCAATTCAACCAGTCCTGCAGTTGGAACTCTGGCCAACATCCCGTTTCGACACAGGCAGCGCCCTCGTTTCGACACAGGCAGCCCGCTTGATGACGCACCACCAATTTCCGAAAGATTGGAGCACAACTGGTCGTCCGCAGCGACAAAATGCGGCCGTCCGCGGTGGCAGCCCAGCATAGCGCGGCACAGCATCACCGCCACCGACGGGCCGCCGCAGCTCAAATCATCAAAAGAAGGTGTTGCATGCCAGGCAAAAATGGATAATTAACAGATGAATACGATGATATGACCAATGCAGTATAAAAGTATATTAGATCAAAAGTGGGCAGAAGGATTGGTTGAAACGACTGTTCACTCAACTCGAAGCCTTGCCGTGCCCTGCGGCAGCACTGTCTTGTCCAGCAGCCACCCCTGCTCTTGCGCCTGCTGCAAAAAGTCGGGCCACTGCTGCTGCATGGCCGCCAGGCTGGCCGCCAGCACCTCCGCTGCCGGCACCACGCTGCCAACGCTGCCGCCGCTACCGTCGCTGGGCGCTGGCCCTTCTCCCTGCTGCTGCTCCAGCCCTTCTCCCTGCTGCTGGTGGTGCTCCTCCAGCCAGGCCGCCTGCCACATGGCCCGCAGCAGGTCTGCCCGCTGCGCGCCCTCCAGGACCAGCACCCAGGCGGCACCTCTGTGCCAGGTCAGCATGTACTGCTCCCCATCGTACAGCCGTACCAGCTCAGCCAGCTGCTGGCCCCTGCCACCGCTGGCTGCACCGCCACCAAAGCCTCCGCCGCCGCTGCCCAGCGCCTGGTCAAGGGTGCACCCGTAGTGGACGCTGGGCTGGCACATGGTGGGCGGCAGCAGCACCTGCTCGCTCAGGTTGACTTGCTCCACGCTCGGCACGAGCCCCGTCCGCACATGGCTGCTTGCCATCAGCGCAGCCCGCTTCTGCAGCCGAAGCAGTTGAGCGGCCAGCTAGCCAGTCAGTTCCGATGCGGGGTAGAAGGAACGCGGAATTGAAGATAAAAGGGACTCCCCTCCTACTGCTACTGCTTGCGCCGCCAGCAAAGAGACAGCGGACAGCCCCAGCTTGCCTGGTTGGGGTAGGGGAACAGGAGTGAGCTGAGGGCAGCGTATCGTAGGTAGCAGTGCACCGCGTGAACCGCCATCCACACCGGCACCACAGTGTCAGGCGATCCCGCCGCCTCCAGCGCCTGCAGCGCCACCACGCTGGCAGCCAGACCTAGCAGCTGCGCAGCACCAGGAAGCACGCGGGAGTGGTGGGCGGCACAGAAGGCCTGGGTGCAGACAAGCATAACAACAAGGGAGCAGGGTGGAGGAGGAGGAGACGAGGAGGCTCACCTGTGCGGCGACCTCCCACACCTCTTCCTTGGCCGCTACATCGCCCACATTGTTAGTGGCTGCACCCAGGCGCGGAGCAGTGGAAAAGCAGGGGTTGGCAGAGCGCAGCATGCAGACAAGCGGTCGGTGCATAGCTGGCAGGTAGCAAGCAAGCTTGGCCGCCAGGCGCCGCCCCGCCCACCCGAGAAGTGCGTCTGGATGATCCTGAAGCACGGCGTGCCCATGCCTTTGGCCATCGACTTGCAGAGCGTCCCGGTGCCTGCCAGGGCAATGAAATAGGCTGCAGGGCGCAAGAAACGCAACACACACATGTCTTCTTCTTCTCTCAGCCTGCACTGCTCCATGCACACACAAACGCCACACCACCAACACCACACCACCGACACCACGCGGAACTTGCTGCGCAGCCCGCCTGGGTAGATCTGGGTGGCGATCTCCATGGCCAGCCCCACGGTGGTCACCCCCTCGGCCACCATGCGCCAGCGCTTGGGGTCCTCGTCAAACACTGCACCAGCACACGGAGCAAGCGGCCATGGTCGACAAGGAGCATGGGCCATGCAGCGGGCCCGTGGAACCGCAGAGGAAGGCGGGTGTTCTCCCCAGGTCTCCCCCCACCCTCGTGGCCTACCTGAGGACAGCCTGCCGCCCACGATGAGCCTCCCTGCGGCCCCCAGCCCATCCTTGGTCAGCCACTTGACTGCGGCAGAGGTGGCGGCGATGGTGGCGGGCCCGGCATCCACCCCGAGTGCAGTGATCATGCTACTTGTGGCCAGGCTGTGGGACATCCAGCCGGTGATGTGTGCCGGTACCGAGGCCAGCTGGTACCGCAGGTAATCGGGCGTTACTGCAGGGAGGAGGCAAGGCATGAAAGTGCGCAGCCAGGGTTGCTCAGCGGCGGGTGGAAGACAGAAGAGGAGCGGGATGGCAGGTGGCACGGTTTGGCGCAGGCTCCGCCGCTCACCGGAATGAGGCCAGCCGGTGGGAAGGAAGAAGGCGCGCACAGCAGCCAGGGGGCCGCCGCCATCGCCACTGCCTCTGATGCTGCTGCTGCTGCTGCTGCTGCCGCCGCCGTTGCTGCTGCTGGCGCCGGGAAGTGAGCCCGCTGGCGCTTGACCGCTGCCGAGCTCCACCGCCCCGCGCCACGCGCCAAGCAGAGTTGTCTCTACCACTACTAGCTTGGGCGGCGCATGCGGCGTCCCTGCCTGTTCCACGCCGCTGCCAGCCACCGCCCGAGTTCTCAAGCTTGGGGTCCGCAAGACCGGCGGGGGTGTCCGCCCAGTGCGCACGCCTCCCCGGGCCGTGCAGCGGGCCTGGTGCGCTGCCATGGGAAGCCGAATGCGCCGCCAGGCTCCTCACGGGCCTTCGACTGGGCCTTGCATGGGAAGGCGGGACACCTGTACACAGCCTGGGCGCCAGAGCCCAGCAGCAGGGCCGGCTGATCGACCGTCCTACAGCGATCGTGGTGGAGTGGATCTCATCGGGCTTGGCTGGTGTGGTTCAAGCGCAAGCCCTACGCAAGGAGCCCACCTCTCTTCCCAGTTCTCGGCGCATTGGGCCTCCGCCGATCCCCAATTGGCTCACCATGGAATCACGGCGCGTTGCCGTGGTGGGCAGCGGCATTAGCGGCCTGTCTGCCGCCTTCCTGCTGCACAGGTATGCTCTCAGGTTATGCAATCTCTTTCCCTGCGGGCCAGGCGCTGCGCCCAGTGAAGCAAGCCGGAAGCCTGCACCAACGCAGCGGCTCGCGCTGGCAGGCGCCTGCGGCGCCCCCGCCGTCCGGCGCCCTCGGCCGCCGCCGCCGCCGCAACCACACAACGCGCCCCGCGCGCCACTGCTGCAGGAGCGGCGCCCGCGTGACCCTGTATGAGAGCGAGGAGAGCTGCGGAGGCCACACGTTGACCGACACCTCCTCAGGCTACCCCATTGACCTGGGCTTCCAGGCAAGCCAGCACCCACATGGCGGCGGTATCCCTTCACACGCGTGTTGCTGGCGCCGCGCTGCCCTCTCCACTGTCGTCTCTGCGCATGCAGCTGGGGACCCGCCCCTCATGCACGCCTGCACGCTCACACACCCTTGGGTCTCCTGGACGCCACTGGACCGTCTCGCCACCACCCCCCGCATTCTACCTCTGTTGCGCCCCTCTGCCAGGTCTACAACCTCACCACCTACCCGCACCTGGTGGGCCTGTTTGAGGAGCTGGGCGTGGAGACGCAGCCCAGCGAGATGTCGTTCGCGCTGTCGGTGGATGGCGGTGCGGTGGAGTGGGGCAGCCACAGCCTGGACACAGTGTTTGCCCAGCGCTCCAACCTGGCCTCCTCCGCCTTTCTGGGCATGATCCGGGACGTGGTGCGCTTCGGGCGGCAGGCGCCCGAGGTGCTGGCGCCGGGCAGCGAGGCGCAGTACGGCGGCATGACCCTGGGGCAGTACCTGTCGCTGAGGCGGTACGGTACCGCGTTTCGCGACTACTACGTCGCCCCCATGTGCGCCGCCGTGTGGAGCGTGCCCAACGCCCAGGTGCGGGCTGCGGCCTGCAGGCCACCGCTGGTTGGTTGCTGCACGCTGGCAGGTGCCTCCATGCCTGCTGCCACGATGCGCAGCTGGTAGCAAGCCCACTGCTCGCCAGTGCCCTGCTCCCATCCTGCCCCACGCCCACCAGCCCGCCCGCTCCCTCCACCTCCACACCACCACAGGTGCTCGACTTCCCGGTGGTCACCCTGGTGCGCTTCTGGGTCAACCACCACCTGCTGGACCTGTCGCAGCGCCCCTGCTGGCGCGTGGTCAGCGGGCGCGGCAAGCAGTACGTGGACAGGATCCTGGCAGTACTGCCAGACGTGCGTACCGCCACGCCGGTGCGGGCCGTGCGCAGCCTGGGCCCGCACGGGCCCGTGCAGCTGGCAGCAGGCGACGGCAGCGAGGAGGAGTATGATGCTGTGGTGCTGGCCACTCACTCCGACATCAGCCTCAGGATGCTGGGCGAGGCGGGGCCAGAGGTGCGAGGAGGGCTTGGCTTGGCGTGTGGCGGTGACGGGCCGGCCATTCCGAGATTCGATGCCCTGGCGGTGCCGCGTTTCACCTTTCGCGCTCCTGTTTCCGGACGCGCCGCCCCTGGTGCGCCGTTCAGCCCCACATCCACCAGAACCGCTCCCGCCGCTGCAGGGCCTGCTGGAGGTGCTGCGCGCCGTCCCTTACGCCGACAACGACGTGTGGCTGCACACAGACGCGTCGCTGATGCCGCGCAGCAGGAAGACCTGGGCCTCCTGGAACTTCCTGGGGCGCAGCGGGCAGGAGGGGGACACGTGAGCGGGGTGCAGGGAGCGGGTGGCAGCGAGGGCGCGGGTGACCGGCAGCTGGCTGGCTGGGGCTGGGGTTGAGCGGATGCTTGGGGGGATGGGTGGCTGGGTGGGCCTTGGCATATAGCAGCAGAGGGATTGTGCATGCAGTGGAAGCCACCTGGCGCTGCCTCGTTTGACGCGCTCCTTGCTGGTCCCCTGCCGGTGCTCCTCGTCCCGCAGGGCCGCGGTGTGCGTGACGTACTGGGCCAACCGCCTGCAGCCGCTGCCGCCGGGCGCCCCCAACCTGTTTGTCACCCTCAACCCCATCCACCCCCCGGCAGGTGCCTGCCCGCCTGCTGCGCTGTGCCGGTGTTGCTTGTTTCAACCCTGCGTGATTCTGTTGCTGCGCTGCGTGCCTGAAGGCATCGCCAGTGGGATGCCTCATTGCGCTGTATATGGCTAAGCTCAATCACGCTGTACTGCCTGCCTCCACCGCCCCTGCAGCGGACAAGGTGCACCGCCGCCTCACCCTGGCCCACCCTGTATTCAGCTTTGCCTCGGACCAGGCGCAGCGCCGCCTGCCAGCTGCCCAGGCACGTCGGCGCCCGTGTGCAGTGCATGCCTGCCTGGCGCTGCAGGCGCTGCCGCGCCTCCGTCGCAAGTGCAGAGCTGGCGCTGAGCTGGCCTGCTGCTCCTGCTCGCTCCGCCTGCCTCTGGCCCCAGACGCCCTCCGCTCACCCGCACGGTACTGCTGTACTGCTATGGTACAGGGCCAGGGCGGCGTGTTCCTGGCTGGCGCATGGGCCGGGTACGGGTTCCACGAGGACGGCATCAAGTCTGCTGTGGACGCGGTGCAGGCCATGGGTGGGTGGCGCCTGCGCATAGCCTGCCACGCAGCATTTACGGCCAGGCGCGCTGATACACCGTGCCCGCTGCGGGCGAGGCGCCGGCTGCCGGCTCCGGCGCGGCTTGCGGCCCGGCTGCCGCCTGGCAAATCCCCCACCACATTGTTTGCGTTTACACATATTGTCTGCCTGCTGCAGGCGGCTCCATCCCTTGGGTGCCTCGCTCCGTGTCCCCCAAGATTGGCTGGCTGGACCGCGCCGCCATGGCAGCGTTTGACAAGTTTGCGCGCGCCGCCATGCGCACCGGCCGCCTGCGCTTCATCCTGCCCAGCGGCGAGGAGCTGGTGTATGGCGACGCCGCCAAGACGGCGGCACCCGTGCCTAAGGGTGGGTGCCTGGGTTCCTCGGCAGGGCAGGGCAGGGCAGGGCAGGGCAGGGCAGGGCAGGGCAGGGCAGGGCAGGGCAGGGCAGGGTGGGCAGGGGCTCCCTTGCATGGCAGCGACGCGGCTGGGCGAATTTGGCAACCACGCTGCCTGCTTACCTGCTGCTAGCAGCCCGCCCTTCATCCGGCTCTTCCCCCCGCTGCCTGCCTGTGCAGGTGAGGAGTGGCGGGGCCGCCCCGCTCTGAGCGCCACGGTGCGCCTCTTCCACGCCTCCTTCTTCCGCAAGGTCATCACCCGCCACGACACAGGTGCGCCGCCGCGCCGCCGGCGCCGGCGCTGCCGGTGGAGGCTGGCTGATTGAGCGGCGCTGGCGCCGGCAGCTGGCAGCTGGCATGTCGGCATGTCACGCGGGCTGCCACACAGAGCCGGGTACGGCTCGACCCTGGAGCTCCCTGCCGCCATGCACAGGCACACGTGTGTACCCTGGCCGCCCCCTGCGTGTGTTGTGGTGGTGCAGGCATGGGGGAGAGCTACATGGATGGCGACTATGAGGTGGATGACCTGGGGGGCCTGCTGGCGGTGGCCACAGCCAACGCACACAACATCGAGGTGGGTGGCGGGTGGTGTGGCGATGGCGGGCATGGTACAAGTGGGTGGGCTGCATGGGGACGAGTCAGCAGGCAGGACGCCCCCCGCCCCACCCTCACCACCCCACATGCATGCACGCCCTCCCTGGCCTGGCCTGGCCTGCCAAGAGCCCCTCTCACCTGGACTTTGCCCTCATCTCCTGCTCCCGTGCCCCTCCCGTGCCCCGCCTGGCCCTCCTCTGCAGGGCAGCCGCGGCATGCTGGGCGCCTTCAACTGGCTGGGCGACCGGCTGCTGGCGGCGGCGCACGCCGCGCGCTCCAACACCCTGGAGGGCAGCCGCCGCAACATCGAGGAGCACTACGATGCGGGTGGGTGGCGGCAGGGGTGGCGGCGCCGGCGAGGCGCTGGCGAGGTGTCGGGAGCGGCCGTGTGCCGGCACATGGGTGGGCGAGGCGCAGCAAATGCGTGGGCAGGGTGCACTCACCCCAAAGTGCCCCGACGTTTGCCCCATCCTGCCCCAACCGCCTCTCCTCCTCATGCCCCTGCAGGCAACGACATGTACAAACTGTTCCTGGACCCCAGCATGACATACTCCTGCGGCATATGGGCCCCCGGTGGGTTGCGCCTGCGCCCCGCAGGCGCCCTGCGTCGTGGTGGCATGCGCGTGCCGGTACCCTCCTTCTCTGGGCAGGGCTGCCGACCACGATCACCTGGCTGGCGCTGGCACGGGCGATATGACGCAGCCGCGTTACCTCCCTCCACCTTCTCCTCCCAGCCTCACTTCGCTCAACCCCTGCCCGCCGCCCACCTTGCGCCGCAGGCTGCGATCTGCACCAGAGCCAGCTGAACAAGATCGACGCCCTGATCAACAAGGCCGACATTCAGGGTGGGTCACGAGGGTGTGGCGGCAGCACTGTGCAGTCTGACTGCGTGTGGCGGCTGCACGAGATGTGTGGCTGGACAAGTTCGGATTATGGCTTGCCCTGCCCCCCCCCCCCCACACACACACACCTATGCACCACCACCATTGCCGCCACCGCCACCACTGCACGCAGAGGGCGACCACGTGCTGGAAGTGGGGTGCGGCTGGGGCAGCTTTGCCATGCGCGCCGCGCAGCGCACCGGCTGCCGCGTCACCGGCATCACCGTCAGCAAGGAGCAGCTGGCAGAGGCGACTGCGCGCGTGAAGGCAGCGGGGCTGGGGGACCCCATCACCCTGGTTTTTCTGCGATACCCGGAGTGCCCCCGGGCCGGGAAATTACAACAAGGTGGGCGGGGCGGAGGAAGGCCGGCTAAGCGTTAGGCGGGGGGGGGCGGACAGGCCCGTGAAGGCGGGGCGGGTACCCTGGGGTAGGCGCGCCTGGTTGCGGCAGGCGTGCCTCCCGAGTCCAGGGCTGGCTTCGTTTTTCATTCCAACCCCACGCGAAAGTTCGTCTCCTTTCACCCCATCTACCTGCCCCTCCACCCCCGCAGGTTGTGTCGTGTGAGATGATCGAGGCGGTGGGGCACGAGCACCTGCAGGCCTACTTCCGCACCCTGGGCGCCATGCTGCGCCCCGGCGGCAAGTGCGTCATCCAGGTGGGTAGCGGCCGTGGCTGCCTGCAGGCTTGGCCTGACCTGCCAGTAGCGTTGCCACCCCGCTGGCTGCCAACATCGGTTCCACCGCAGGCTAACTCTGGTGGTACGGACGCCCACATTCCCCTTCCACACCATCACTTTGCGGCACCATGCCGTACCGTACCATGCAGGTCATCGCCGAGCCGGATGAGCGGTACGAGGCGTACTGCAAGTCTTCCGACTTCATCCGGGAGCACATCTTCCCCGGTGGGTGCCTGGCTGGCAGCGGAGGTTGTAGGTGTGCGTGCTGGAGGCTTTGCTGGGTGGACTGCAGCGCCGAGGCTGCGTCTCGACACCCATTCCCGCCTGCCTCCCCACGTGCTGTCGCGGCTGCAGGCGGCCACCTGCCCTGCATGGGCGTGATGGTGGACTCCGCACGCGGCACCGGCATGACAGGCAAGTAACACACCCATCCACACCCCTGCCCCACCCCTCTGCCGCCTGCTTGGGTGCACGCCTGCCAGGGGCCCGTCGGCGCTCGCGCCCCCCAAGGCCGGCCTTACCCCACGCGCTACCTCGTCACCCACATGCACGCCCCTCGCCCAATCCCTCACCAAACCTCGCACCACTCGCGGCATTATCTTTCAACGTGACGAATTTCCGCACTCCGTCTGCAGTGCACGGCTGCCAGGACATCGGTCCGGACTATGCGGTGACGCTGCGGGCGTGGCGGCAGGCGTGGGAGGCGCGGCGGGAGGAGGTGCTGGCCCTGGGCTACAGCGACCGCTTCTGGCGCAAGTACCGCTTCTACTTTGCGTACTGCGAGGCCGCCTTCGATGCCAGGTGGGTGGGTGGGTCTGTGTGTGTGGGTGGCGCGTGGTTTTGTTGATGCTGTGGTGGTGGCGGGCTCTGCGGGCCAGCCGGCCGGCTGCTGGTGGGGGGCTCCCCACAAGGAGCACACCCACCACCCCCAGCCGTGGTGCTGACATCAGCGCCTGCCTGGCCTGCGCCGCTGCCTGCCCGCCTCCCCCGCAGGTACATCCACACCTACCAGGTGACCTGGGTCAAGGACGAGCAGCCCACGCTGACCGCGGCAGACATGCAACGCTCCAGTGAGTGCGCTCTGCGGTGGGGCTGGTGGGGCTGGCGGGGCTGGTGGGGCTGGTGGGCAGGCGCGGGGGGGCCTGCAATGATGGTGCCTGCTGAGCTCCTGGGATGAGGGATGCATGCAATGGCAGTGCAGTACTGTGGCACCGCATGCTGACCCCTCCGTGCTGCGCCACCCCCCCGGCCCGCTGCAGTCGAGATCAGCAAGGGCATCCGCGCCGCCGACGGCAGCATCGACGCCCCCGCCACCCCGGCCGACCCGGTCACCCAGGTGCGCCTCGCCCCCCCCCACACACACGTACGCACGCACGATGCGCCGCCGCCGCGCTGGGACGGGCATTCAATTGGGCGTCCTGGGTGTCAGTTCCTGTCCACGCCCATGCACTCAACTGCGCCCCAAAGTGTCGCCTCCCGCGACCAGCAGCCCCCTCCCACCTGCACCACCCCACTCACCCCTCCCTTCCCTCCCTGGCCCGCCACCCCACCCCAGGCCCTCACCTGCCTCTACTGCTTCCTGGCCGGCGTGGCCGTCAGCACCGGCCGCCTGCTGTGGCTGCTGCCGCTGGCCACCGCCGCCTCTGCCGCGGTGCACGCGCTGGCGGGGGCGGCCTCCGCCGCCGCGCTGCCCTTCTACCGCCAGCTGTCGCCCGAGCGCGCCGCGCTGTGGCGCGTGGACATCACCCACCTGGTCTACTCAGCAGTCACGGGTGCGCGCCGTGGCGGCTGCGGCTCGTTGCCCAGTGCCTGCTGCCACCGCTGCTGCTGCTGTTGCTGCACACTGTTGACGTGGGGGGCACTGTTGACGTGGAGGATCGGTCAGGCAGCCCCCATGCTGCCCTGACCCTGCACATGTCTGCCTGGCGCCGGGCCCACCGCCTCTCATCCTGCTAGAGTAGTCATCCTGGCAGCAATTGTGCTGCCCCGGCGCCCACCTGACCATGCCCACTCGCCCCCCGTGTCCCCTGCAGCCGTGCTGGTTGCCTGTTTGCTCCTGGCCTGCCCCCGCGCCCTCCTCCTCTCCGCCCAGCTGCCCGCCTCGGGCCTGTGGTGCGCCGACCTGCCTCAGGCGCTCATCGTGGCCTCAGGTGGG